AGGTCACTAAATGGTGTGGAGGGCATACTGCTGGATGGGGGCTGGGGAGCAGGGGTGGTGGGCAGTGTGCTTGTTGACTGAGCAGACATAACATGTGATGAGTGACTGCTCACACCATCCAGCTGCAGGGCCAGTCTCCGGGTACAGAAGTAGGCAAGGCGGCGGGAGAGGTATGCAGACTGAACGAATTCCCCAGAGTACTGTGAAGACATGATGATCAAAACCCCCCCCAATTCCTTTCTCCAAGAGACACTGCTCCCATGTCTTATTTTTCCTCAAATCCTCCACATTTGACTCCCTGCCCCCACCCCCAATCCCAGGCCTTACTCGAAGCAGCAGGGGCAGCAGCAGCTTAAGCAATTCATCCTCTCCAGGGCGGATTTTCTCAAAACACTCAAGTACCCAGGTCAGGAACTCATGCCTATCCAGCATCCCATCCTATGAATAACCAGGGATGGCAAGAGTATTAGTTTAGCCTGGGGACAATTAAAGATGAGGCAGATAAAGTAAATGAAAGGACAAAGAGTATCACAACTGGGACAAGGTGGCAGGCAGATTCTGTTCTGCTGGCAGAGCACGTGCGGTCAGCTCAATCCATGCCCCATGTGCCATGCCCTACTTCCTACCTGAAACATGAACATGGCCAGCTTCTCGTTGTAGTCCCACTGCCGAATTGCCACCTCCACATCATGGGGCAAGGGCCCTATAGTAGAACCACAGCCCCCACTGCCTGCAGGCCCTGGCCGATAATATTCAGCCATCTTCTGTAGTTGTTCCCATAAGTACTTGGTGATGATCTGAGTCCATTCTAGAGGAAAGATGGAGAAAGGACAATTTCATACTGTCCCTCTGCTTTGAACATCTTCACTTTCTTACTGCCACTCACCATACTCCTAAATCCTATTCACTCTTAGGCTTTAGTCCTAAGCTACTTTTCAAAAATCTTTTCAGGCATTCCCCCCCCAAAAGTATCCTTTGCATCTAGCAAAGTCTCAAATAATTTCTGCCTCCTCTTGTGACAACTTAGTACTTTCCATGGGAGACTGTAAGCATCCTAAGGGCAGGGATTAATGCTGGTCATCTTTATAGCCCAGTGCATGCACACAGATGACACACAAGATATTGGCTGCTTGCTAACTGAAAGAATGCAAGAGACAAACAGAGCAAGGAATCCAGATGAGGAAGGAGAATAATTCCAAGGGTCCCTCTATCACTTCATGAAGAGCTCAGTGGTGGTACCCCTGGTATCAGGAGTTACTCACCCATGAAGGGGTCAACGACATGTCTCTTCTTAACCTTGGTCTCCGAGATTGCTGCATAGTAGGCACAGGTCATCTTAATGAGCCAGGCAGCCCGCATCACAGGCACTGTGTATTTGGCTAAGTACCCAAACACTTCTTCCTTCTTACTGAAAATGGGGACCTGGATGAATATCATAAGGAAAGAGACCTCTAGTACCCACTCTGAGCTGGCACCCATGTAGCTCAGTCTGGGATTAAGAAGATACCTGAACCATGCTGCCCCTTTCCCTTGGCCTGAAGAACAGGGAATGGTATCTTACCTTTTTGGCCAGTTGTGTGAGTGGCTTGGTGCCAGCCAGGTCAGTGAACCAGGTGTTAATGGCACTCTGGGATCTTGCAGTCACCAGCCAGAAGTTGTCTTTCTGGTTCACTTGGGGCTTCCTGCGACCAGTGTCAGGGAGTGTGTTACAACGTAACTTCTCTGCAATAATGCTGCTGAAGTTGGAGCTGATCTGGAGGAAGAACACTATACTTCAGGGTGGAAAGAATGGGCAGAGAGGTGGTTGTGTCTTTGATGGGCAAAAGCCAGTGTGGTAGCATTAGCTTATGAAAGAAAACTCAGCTATTTAGGTTGTCCCTTAAAGTCTTCCCCACCCAGGGTCTTTGCTCCTTCTCAGATTCTTCCAGCCTTTTCCTTCAGCCTGGCAGGGTTGTCTCACCTTGGCAGGATTGAAGTTGACGTTTTTGGCACTGCCATGTTCATCCCCAGAGACAGCTGGCTGGTTATTGAAACCTTGTTTTACATTCAAGGCCGTCAGTTCATCCTGAGGCAGAAAAATGACATTTTAGGTTTTTTTTCCCCCTTTGGGGGTGGTAATGGTGGGAGAGGAGGGCAGAAAAGAAGGAAATGGGGGGGGGCATAGGAGGAGGGTTCTCAGAACAGATTGTTATTTTAAGATAAGCCCTTATAGTCATTTGGACCCCACCCTCACCCCCCCACCCCCAGTCACTGAGATTCCCGATCACCCAGCACTGCTCAACATCACTCTTCTTGGCAAGCAGTCGTGTCTCACCGAGCTGCCTTAGACAACTTTCTGAGCTGTGCGTGTTTGGAGGGGGGCGCCTCAGGCGCGATCTCTACATCTAGCCCTACTCACACCCAGGCACACCGCCCCTCCCCCTCCCCCAGGTCTTACTCTCCTACACCAGCTCACTTTACTCTTCCCCCTTTCGGGACTTTCGCTCTCAGCCAACCGCCCCGCCCCCCCTCCCCAAACCATCAATGCTTCCTCCTATGCTTATCGCTTGTCCCTAGCCCCTAGGGAGTCCCGATTTTTGAACGCACCTCCTTCTGTTTGGGATCTTGAGGGTACACATCAGGAGGCCCCAGCCGCGGCCGCTTCAGGGGCCGGTGTTCGTAGCTCAAGATCCCGAAGGCCGCCATCTTGCCCAGCCCGTAGCGCCAGAGGCGCCAGCCGGGCCAGGCTGGGGTGACGGAGGAGGGGGGCGGGAGAGGGAGCAGAAAAGGGGGGGCGGCGGTTTCGAGGACGGCGGCCGAGAGACAAGGGGGCACATTAGAAACTCTCGATCATTGCCGGAAAGTACCGAGGGAAACCGAAGGACGCCGGGAACCGTCGGACAATACCGACTGCAGCGGGGCGGCGCCCGACCGGCACGGGGCGGAGCTTCGCGCCGGAGGCGCTTTTTGGCCCGTGCGGCCCAGGATCGATGGAGTCGGCAAAGATCTGTGAAAGGGCCAGCCCCACGATCTGCGTGCGGTGCTGGGACTCAAGCCTGCCAAGAGGGAGGCAGCCTGGGGGCTGAGCCGCGGCTGGAACGGGGTTCCCGGCGCCTCGCTCAGTTCTTGGCCTAGAATTGGTGTACTAGCTGATAGCCGTGTTCGTTAGGCTCTGCCGTACTTAGTTTCCGCTTCTGAGGAATGGGTGCACTAAAACTTCCTTCAAAGGGCTGTTGTAAAGTTTAGAAACTCTAGGCATAAGTAAGCAGCCATTAAGTTCCTGAAAGGCAGACCGACTCTAATCCCTCAATTCTTTCTGACCCAGCACGGAGGTGCTTAGCTTTTCAGTTTTGTTTTGTTTTAAATCCACAGTCCCTTTAAAATGATGGTGGGAGCTTAGCGGGTTCTTCCTCCTTCCCAGAAAGGAAGGAGGAACCTTCTATGCATGGGTCCTTCTTCTCAGAAAAATGTACTTAGAGACTATGTTAAACATTTCCCTGGGAGTCTTTAGAGACCTTGAAACACAACAATGTATCTCCTAAGTATCCATGAATTCCAAGTCAAGAATCCTTGCTCCAGCTACTAAATGTCAACTATTTTGCAAACTTGTCTAATCCGCAAACAGCTACACGAATTAGGGAGTATCACTCTCCATTTTGTTGCTGATGAAACTGACCTTCAAAGAGTTCACTTGTTTGATAATACACAGCTACTAAGTAACAGCACTGAGACCAGGATACTTTCTTGACTCTAGAGGTCATATTTTATTATGGCATCGCCTATTTGAGAAAAAAAGAGTGCTATATAATAAAAACAATAAATAAAAAAATAATAAGGGTTGCGATGACAAGAGGTCATTGATCTACTATAGGAAGAGTAATTCCAACCTGGAAAGAGGGAAACATATTGGAGGAGCTCATTAGCATTTGAGCTAATAAGGAATTTTAACCCACAGAAAAGTAGGGTGTGTTAGAACATAAGCACAATGCCAGGCTACATATTAAAAACTTGATAAAGGTTTGTTGAATGAACAATTTCTGTAAGTAGTGTCTTCATTCATCTCTGGGTGAAGATAAATCTGGCAACAATATAAAGAATGGATTAGAGAGTAGGAAGCCGTAGAAAGGGAGATCAGTTAGTGGATTCTAGTAATAATCATTACTAGAGGGAATGAAAGGCTGGTTTGGCACAGTGGCTGTGGTCATGGAAAGAAAGAGAGACTGCTGGGAGAAGCACCATAGAAGTAAAGCTGATTAGACTCTCAGGGCGAGAGACGCTTCAAGTCTGGGTGACTGAGAGGGTGATGATACATTAACTGAGATAGGGAACACGAGAAAAGAAACACATTTGGGGGAAGATGAGGAGGAGTTTGAGCTGGTATTGCGGTTTCTCCATTGCTAGAATGTGCATTTAAGTCAGACCTCCTTGCCAGTCTTAGCAGGGACCTAACTGAAGTAGCAGCTAGGGGTAAATACACTGGATTGGTAAGTCGAGAGGAAAGACAGCTAGCTGTCTGTGAGCCCACAGGGGTTGGGACTGTATTTCCCCTCCACCCAAGACTGTAGACCTTTGTCAGAAATTTCAGGATGACTGAGCTAAGGAAGGAACACAGTGTAAAATGGGGCGGGGGAGGTTCAGACTCTGAGATATGAGATAAAATGATTTAGGTGAGAAGATGCTTAAGAATAGTGGTGATGATGGGGAACAGATTCTTCCCAGGATCTAGGTGACCTGAGATTCTTGATTCCTTGACAGTATTGTATACCCAGCCCTAGTCTCTACTAAACACCGCTTTGCAGTGGCAGCTTTATACCTACAGATTAGATTTAACACCTAATCTCCCAGAAGACTTTGCCTGTGTCACAGCACACATTTGCCACACCCTCTGTAGAACCCTGGTTTTCTAAGGTTCTTTCCACCGGAAACTATGACAGAAGGAAATGTGTGGGTGGGGAAGGGTAGAGGGTGAGGGGCCCAGACTCCTGACACAGTCTACACCCAGGGAACGAAGAGCAAGCGCCATGTTGAAGCCACCATCGCCACTCAGCTCCCTCTTATTCCTGCAGCTGCCTCTGCTGGGAATGGGGCTGAACTCCAAGGTCTTCACGTCCAGTGGGAATGAAGGCATCATAACTGGTGGGAAACCTGGGGCTGGTGAGAAGGGAGGCTGTGGGAAGGGGCCTTGTAGAAATGTGGAACCTGCCACTAGACATTAAAATGATATGGGCAGAATTTAAGAGTGTTGTGAGGAGGGCAAGGGAATGATACCCTGCCTCATACTGCTCCTTCTTTTGACCACCATTTCTTCTTTTCCCCTCCTCCACTTCATGTTCTCCCCAACCCAGATTTCTCCCCGACCTCTAGCCCCCCTGGCACCCTCACTGCTTCTACCCTGCCCCTTCCAGTGGTTCAGTGTTTAGTGTTCAATGGTGACTACATGAATTGCACTTGGAACAGCAGCTCTGCATCCCAGTCCACCAACCTGACGCTGCATTATTGGTATGAGAATGGAAGAGGGGATTGCACAGGGGAGGAAGAGGAGGTGGTCTGGATGAGAGGATGTATGGTGACCAAGAAAGAGGGTAGTCAGCATCTCAGGCTCTCCACTATTTTCTCCTGGAGCAAGGTGTGAGTTCAGAGGAGATGGGGCTGCGCCATGGATTCCTGTGGTCCCCAAGTTTACCCCACTGTTTAACCCTTCTGTTTAAACCTTTCTCCAGGTATCAGAAAAGTGACGAAGTCCAAGAGTGTGGCCACTATCTAATGTCTAAAGACATTACTTCTGGCTGCTGGTTTGGAGAAGATAAAATCCGACTCTATGACACATTTTTTGTCCAGCTCCAGGACCCGCAGAATCCCCAAAGGGAGGCCACACAGACACTGAAACTGCAGAATCTGGGTAATTTGGAAAGGTGGTTAAGGGTCTAGGGGTATTCAGGGTACTGGAATATATGGGATGGTGTCCTTTTGCCATAAGGGCACAAAGGAAGCAAGGAGGGATTGGGATGGGGAAGTTTGGGGGCAGGGGCTGGTTTATGACTTTCAGGATCCTGACTTGTCTGGCCAGTTCATTGACCACACATGCACACATATCTCCAGTGATCCCCTGGGCTCCGGAGAATCTAACACTTCGTAACCTGAGCGAGTCTCAGCTAGAACTGAGCTGGAGCAACAGATACTTGAACAAATGCTTGGAGCACCTGGTGCAGTATCGGAGTAACCGGGACCAAAGCTGGACTGTGAGTGATTGGATACCAGAGCATAGAAGCCAAGGCCAAGCAAGTGGGGGTAAAGGATTTAGTTAGCCAAATGGGAGGCCCTGTTGCTAAGCTCCTGTTCTCTGCTCATCCTCTGTTCCGCTCCAGTTCCTTTTCCTATCATCTCCAGTGAGTCTTCATCAAGGTTTCTCTACTCAGATAGATAAGCAAAAGGGGACCAGGAGAAGAAACATTTGACCTAGTCAGTGAAGGGAGTACGTTAAACTTGCCAAGTCCAGAGGAGGGAGGAATGGAAAGAAGATGACATGGGTCGGGGTAGCAGTTTTAATTTCCCCTTCTTTTATAGACATCTAAGCTTTTCTCACCTTCTTTCTCCCCAAGGAACAACCAGTGGATCACAGACACAGCCTCTCTCTACCTAGTGTGGATGCGCAGAAACTTTACACATTCCGTGTTCAGAGCCGGTTTAACCCACTCTGTGGCAGTGCTCAGCTTTGGAGTGAATGGAGTCACACAATCCAGTGGGGCAGCAATACTTCAAGGGGTGAGATGGGCTTAATGCAAGGCTCTACTGATGAGCCCAGCACTACAGCCTTGCTAGCACCACTGCTATTTCCTCTGCCTTCCTACCCTTAGGCCTCAAACATGTTGTCTTAGCTCAGCTCATTTTTCAAAGGTAACCCCCAGGAAGCAGGGTCATTCTGAATAGGGTTGGGTCAGAGTGTTGTTGGGGTGGGAGGAGTGGATTGAAAAAGAAGCCAAGAAGTGCTCAAGGAGGAGATAGAATGTTTGAAATTTCACAATAGCATTGCCAGAAAGGTGGCAAGAAGATGGCTTTTGAGTGAGACAGATCGAGGCTTTAAATCACTAAATCTCTTTGAAAATCTCTTTGATTCTGTTTTTTTTTTTCTCATCGAAATGGTGATAATAATGAAATGGTGATAACAATTGTTCCCCTGCTGAGTAATTGTGAGGATTAAGTATGCAGAGGGTGTCTAGCTCAGTGCCTGGCATCAAGCATTGGCACATATTAAGAGCACTGCAAATGTTAGATTCCTTTTCCTTGCTTCTACTCTATAGAGAATCCTTCGTTGTTTGCATCGGAAGCTGTGTTCATCCCCCTGGGCTCCATGGGATTGATTTTTATTAGCCTCATCTTTGTGTACTGCTGGCTGGAACGGTGAGATTTTGGGAAGCCCAGAAAGTGAGGTGAGGGTGGCGGGGACTAGCAAAAGGGTTACTGGGTCTGCAAAGTAGAGGCCAGGACTGTAAGGAATGAGAGCTTGCCCAAGTGGGTGTGGTGACGAAGGAAGCTGCAGACCCAGAGCACAGAATCACTTTATATCATATGGTAGAACAGGGAAAAGGATAATCAAAGAACTTAACCCACATGCTCCTGTTTCCCTTTTCTTTCTGCTCAGGACCATGCCCCGAATTCCCACTCTCAAGAACCTGGAGGATCTGGTTACTGAATACCATGGCAACTTTTCGGTAAGAACACTGTCATTGGCAGACTGCAGTCTGTCAACTGTCAACTGTCTACCAGCAAGATAGAGTATGGGGAGAGGGGGCAGATGCAAGGGGAGAGGAGGGGCACCTTCACTGTCAGGATGTGGCCAACCGATGGGGGTATGGGCTAGACAGAGAAACACAGAAGAACTGAGATTATTGATTGATTGAGGCAGAAAGCAACAGTGGTATTGGGGGCCAGCAGTGTGTGTTTCTTCTGTAATCACAGTAGTTGCTGATGCTGTGAGAGCTCCTTGGCGCACAGCCTGGGCCTTTCATTTCTAGTCCCGAATGGACCTCTGACCTGGAAATCTCTGTCTTTAGGACTGGAGTGGTGTATCTAAGGGGTTGGCGGAGAGTCTGCAACCAGACTACAGTGAACGGTTCTGTCATGTCAGTGAGATTCCCCCAAAAGGAGGGGCCCTAGGGGAGTGTCCTGGAGGCTCCCCCTGCAGCCAACATAGCCCCTACTGGGCTCCTCCCTCTTATACCCTGAAGCCTGAGCCCTGATACTGACAGAACCCCAGAGTCTTATAGCCCTAATATGTACTAACTTCCCTCAAACAACAGCCTGGATCCAATGCCCACTTTCAACACCTCCCCTTCCCTTGCCTGATTTTGAATTTTGTGCCCCCCTGTAACTGTGCCTTCATATTTAGGATGCCCTACTTAACTGCCTGCCCCTTTGCCTTGTACATGCTTCTCAGCTTCCCTAACCCAGCCCTTCCTCTTCAACAAATCCTTTCTCATTCATCCCTCCTTCTTCCCATTAACCTTCCAATTGTTCCAATTGTTCCTGAATCAATGCAAAATAAAGTTTCTGTTCCTAATCATCAAGAATGTCTGTTGTTGGGGTAGGGAACCAGGGAAAGGTGGGGATTTGGGGTGGGAAGCAAGGTGCTGAGGGTTGGAAGTTGTAATAGACTCACACTAGACAGCGCTGGTACTACTAATGAACTAGGACAACTGTTCTAGAAAGCAACTTTTCTCTCCATGCCCTGTACTCCTTCCAGGGTCCAGTTTAGAGAGGTTTACATGTTGTCCCCATCCCAAAAAGTCTTTTACAGACCCCCAACCAGGTTCATCTCTCTTAATTCCTGACTCCACTTTCTGTCACACTTACACCACTTCTGACCTCATAATCCCTCTACTGCAGTCTCAGGCCCCACCCCCTAGGGACACTGGATGGCTACAACTACCAATAGCACTCTCCTGTCTCCCAGTCTTGGCTTCTTCAGATCTTCTTCTTTAGTCCTTCAACCCTATGGCCCCCTTTTCTTCCCCGACAAGACCTCTAGAACACCCTCCTCCTGTATGACTGTTCAAGATTCTCTGTGAAGAGTGACATCTTGAGAATATGTTCATCTTTATCAAGCATGGAGGTGAGGGGCATCACAGAGATCCATTCTTTGTTGTTGGCTGGGGAAGTCTGAGGATGGTGAAGACCACAGGAATGGCATATTAAGAGAAGGGCCATATGTCCCATCCTTTCTTTGCAGATAACCAGCAATTTCTGGTCAATACCAACTGCTCTGTCCTCCTGTTGCTTCATTACACCCGCAGTAAATTGGGGTTGGCTAAAACAGGTGAGGAGTTAGGGGAGGGGACTAATGGCCAAGGGTCAGAAGTAGTGGGGTCACATCCAGACCCCCCAGCCCTTCTTCTGATAAGAAAGTAGTTCCTCCAATCCATTCTGTATAGGATTCCCTGGCCCCTATTGCTCCCACTTTCTTTCTTTACTTGTCCCAGTTATCCTGTGGCTTCCCTCTAGTCACTATCGATTTGTGTGATGAAACGGGGACAATGAAGTTGCTTTTCCTGCTGAAGACCCCTACAGAGTATGCCACCAAATACCTCACGGCTCGAAACACCTACTACGTTTGTAAGATTGAGCGTGGGCCACCAGGTAGAGTCTTGGGAACATACCTTAGGGATAGAGCAAGGCCCTCAAGGTGGATTGTGTATCTTGTCCCTAAAGTTGGGCACCTTCAACTAGATCTAAATCAACCATGTCTAGTCAGTTTAAGAAAGGTCACTGCTTTAAGACTATAGGCTAAGTTCACACGTCCCACACTTGATCCTAGGGATGGACATAATGGGAGGAAAATAAGGTACACCAGTTCAAGGTAGTGCTGACTGCTAAGGTCCTGAAATCTTGGAAGGGTGGAGACTGGGTCACAGGGACTGGGGATAGTACACTGCTGTATCCACAGGAACCAGATTTGAAAATGCTTACAGAGCCTTTGTGCCCCTCCTGAAGAATCCAGAACCTGAGCTAACGGGTAAGGAGTATGATGAACATGGAGAGAAGAACATGGAGAACACTGTACATAGCTGAGGGGGGCGGTTGGGGAATATAGGAATGGGGCTAGGGTAATACAGCAGGTAAGATCACAGAATCTTAGGAAAGCAGGGAGAGCGTCTAGGTCAACTTTAGGAGGATGTTTTGCTTAAAACAGGTGCAGTTGGTATGTCACTTAACTCTCCCTGCTCTTCTTGGTCATCTTTTTTTTTTTGTCATCTTTTCAGTGTATCTCCCTACTACCACCCTGTAATTTCCATCTTCCCCTTCATTCTTTTCTCTTGGAATCTTGGTGTTCTAATTCCCACTGAAAAGGGCAAAACTTAGACTCAGGTCACACCTCAGCCTAACTTTAGATACAGTTACAGATCATCTGAATGACTGGAGGGATGAGCAAGGCAGGTCTCTAGGCCTTGGATGTGGGGGTACTTTTTCCCGGTTCCTAGATGCCTTACGCACACAGTGTGACTTCCTGGAGAGAAGCCGAATAAAGATGCTTAGAAGTCAAGAAGCCAAGAAAGTCACTCAAATTGAATCCTCTGTGAACCTTCCAGTAAGACTTCCTAAACGTGGCCTGTCCCAGCACCCACCTTTTCCCAGCAGCCAGCTAAAGGTTATCTACCCTGCCCCCCTGGGGTGAATTTGTCTTGATTTTGGCCCTAGTTGGTAGAAAGTTTCTCTGAAGGGGACACTTTTAATTTTTTTAACTTACTTGCTGACCTTTACCTTTCCTAGTCCAAATCTGGAAGATCTGATGAAGACGGGCCCACTCGCAGGGGGCCTCTCTATAAGTCCAGAGTGGAGTTTTTCAGGAGGGATAAACATCGTTAACTAAATAAAATGACCAAGTGAGAGCAGTAATACTAGGTATGAAATGACTGGAATTTTATGTGAGGTTCCTTTTTTGAGAAATACTTCTCCCAATATCTGCACCAAAGCATAAAGGTGCCCCAGGCACCATGGAGGCGCTCAGAGTGGATAAGAACGGCAGGAACAGGCACATGGGTGGGGGTGAGAAAAGACTGAAGTCTAGTACAATGAGTCTTTGAGGGATGGAGTAGGGGGTGGGGTCTTCTTCAACCAGACTATCTCCCCTTGGGAGGCCTATCTCAGCCCGCCTACTCCTGCTGGGGTTAGGTGACTAATCGGCATCTTCCCTCCCCTCCCCCCTCCACCACCTCTCCCAGCCGGAAATTCCCCCACCCCCCATCTCTCTGCCTCTGGGAAGTCCCTCCTCTGGCTCTTTGCCTTCCCCCTCCCTCCCCCTTATCCGAGGGGAGCAAGGAGGCAGCAGAAACCAGAGCTGGTTATAGGCATTTATTGAATTTATTCATTTATTGATTTGACACACTTCTCCACTCCAATCTAGCACATGATACAATCTGGGTAGGCCAGGCGCTGACACAGGAAATGATGGGAACCCACAGCAGGAGTGGGGGAGGGGACAATGCAAAGGGGACTGGGGGAGGGGCTGCTGGGGCCTGGGGTGGAGGAGCCCCAGATGGCCTCCCTGGCAGGTGTTAGTAAACCTGATCCACATTCCCTTCCATCCCCACTCATTTCTTATACCCTCAGCCAAGCTCCCCAGCTCCCCCTTCTCTGTTCTACCCCTTCCCCATTTGCCAACACACACACACACACACACACAGACACACACACGCACACATGCATGCACCAAGGAGCTTCCACATAACCCCTGTAGTTAGGCAAAGGAAGAAGGGCAGGGACAGCTGTCAGGGGCCTTGAACAGGGAGGTCTCTGTACCTAACTTTACCACCCTAAATCCTTCCCTCCGTCTCTTTCCCCCCTCCCATCCCCTTCCCAGGCCGCAAACTAATTCCAGGCCTCCGATGCATTCTCCCACCATAGCACAAAGCCACAGTGATTGGGCCATAGGAGGGTGTGGCTGTACCCCAACACCACACACTCCCAGGCACAAATGGACAGAATAAGAGGACCTGGCTTAGTTAGCTCTTTGCTTAGGGAAACGCTCAGCTAGTTCCACCCAGACCTCGTTCTGGTCCACATGGGTGTTCTTCTCCTGGCTTAGAGTTGTTCCCTACTGCTGCTCTTCACCCCCTTCATGGGCCTGGAGGTCTCTCCCCCACTTTCCCATGTTTCCCGAGTACTGCCTGTAGTGTTTGCATCATATTGATTTGACAAGGCCTTCAGAAAGAAAAAAAGCGCGCTCCCCATCACTAGCACCTTGCTACTGTTAAAAATCTCTATATTTGTGTTTATAGTTCTTTAAAAGTTCAAAAAAAAAAAGTCTGCAGCCTTCCAAGGGTGATTTGGCCTGGTGAGCCACTCCAGTGCTCAGACCTTGGCCCTTCCAAGTCCCTGCTGCTCCCCCCCACAACCCTACTGGCCTAAGGGGCCACTGCATAAAAAATCCCAGGCTCAACCTAACCTGGACCAGCTCAGATAAGACTCTACAAAAAGTCCTGCTCCAAAGGCAGGGGTAAGGCCACTGGTGACTTCACATTTCCAACAGCATTGCCCACCCCTGCTACAAGGCCCAGGGAGTAGGAATGGGGGGGGGAGTCAAGGATGGCTCCCAAGAGGGGGCCTTACCCCCTAATTGGCACAGTGAGAATAAACCCTTTCCCTTTCTTCCATCCCTTTCCCTCCCCCCACTATAGTCCCCATGAGGCAGCTTTCTCTTTATTTCCTTAACACCCATGTGAGCAGACCCCACCCTAGCTCAAAAGTAGGGTCCCAATTCCCAGGGAGGGGTCAAGGGTAAAGAGTGGATATGGACACGCCTGACTCCACCTCTGAAGCAGGGGCCAAAGCTTCCAGCCATGGCTCAGGGATCTGTGGGAAAAAGAGAAGGAGGACAAAGTAAGAGGCGCATCTGGGGCATGACAAGGTTCCACCATCAAGGTTCACACTTTATAAGGAGGGGTGCTACTGGAGAGCCTGGGGTCCTATTTGGAAAAGAAGCCACTCTAATATGACATCTTCCCTCCAATCCCTGGGTTCTGCAACTCCTTGTTCTAAATCTGCTCCCTCCCCCAACTTGCTCTGATCATAGGACTTTTTGGGCACCCAGGAGTAGGTATAGGTTGTGAGAGGCTACCGTGATCAAGGGGTGCCATACCTGGCTCAAAGTTGAAGTCCAGTCCCTCACCCCCATCCATGAGGTCGCTGATAATGTTATCCATGTCACACTCCAGGTTCTCCATATACATATCAAGATCTAGATCCTGAGGCATTCTGTCTTGGCTTGGAGCTTCAGCAGGGGAGGTGAACATAGGAGTCCCCAGGGTCTTGGGGACAGGAGCATCCCCCATGACTGGAGGAGGTGTTATCATAGAAAGGTTGGGAACCAGACCGCTTGGGCCTGGAGCCTCTAGCGGCTTGGGACACAGGCCAACTCCTGTGGCTACCTTACTGGAGGAAGGTATCCCTCCCAGCAACAGAAGTGTGGGAGCTTGGGACAGAATGGGATCTACCTGTGTCATGAGCACATCGGCAGGGGGTGGCGGTGTGTCAGAGGTGAGCAGGGCCTCCAGAGACTGGGAGCTTGAGAAGCACCCTTCTGCTGACAGGGGCCCCTCTGCTGGGCTAAAGAGGGGGGTGCTGAAGGCGTGTAAGGGGCCTGTAACCCCAGGGTGCTGCAGAGAGAAGCCAGAGAGACTATTCCGAGATAGCAGGGAATGGGAAGATGCGAGATTGAGCCCATCTAACAGCTCCAGGTCTTCGTTGAGGGTGGGAGGGACACCCCCTGCGTAGCTGCTGACAGCGGCTGGCATTTCCTCCTCTGCCAGCACCTCAGGCTCTGGTCTCATGGGGGAGAGCCGGGTGCTGACAGTGCTAGCATTTGAACTGCTCCGTGGACGGAAGGCGGTCCACACATCGGCTTCCTCACGGTTTCGAGGGCAAGGGCTGCCCGACCACTTGGAGAAGTGGCCGACAGGACTCCTCGGAGTGGCACCTTCAGGTGGAGCTGGCAGCACGGCTGGTTTCTTCTTGGGGGCCTTGCTGCGGCCACGGAGCAGCTTGCTGCTGCTATCCATGGAGGCGGCCCTGCGGCGGGGCGCCTTGCCGCTCTTGCCTCCCTCCGGATTCAGCATCCACCAAGAGCTCTTGCCAGTAGCTTCGTTGTGAACCTTGATGAACTTGCTGTGTAGGGACAGGTTGTGACGGATTGAGTTCTGGAGGGGGCAGAGACAGCAGGAAAGGGGCATGAGGTGCGTGGAGGGGAGGTCAGTAGCCAGCAGTCCCATCTAAAGGGATGCTGGGACATAGAAGGACATTCCTGGCGAATCAGAGCTAGTGGAATCCAGAGCTAGTCTCCCTAGTCTGCAGACAAGTTGCTCCTGAACTTACCACAGAGGGCTCTGCACCCACCCTGGGAAAGCTCCTGTCAAGGCAGCCCCCCCAATCTCTGGGAGGGTATGTCTGGGGTAGACTGGCATTGGGGAGATGAACTCATAGCTCTGGTGGGAAATAGCACTCTACAGCTCCACCCTTTTCCTTGAGTGAAGGCTAGGGTAGAGTTTACAGGATAGGGCAGAACACCAGCCCAGGACTGACCGCCCTGTCCTGAGCCAGTTTTCTGACCAGGCTGAGGGCCTGGAAGCTCAATCTGACTGGTGCTCCATTCCCTCCAGGGCACCTGGGGCCCAGATCTATGTAAGATTCGAAGATTCCTTAAAAAACAAACAAACAAACAAACAAACAAACAAACAAACAAACAACCCCCTTTTTTTCTGGGCCTCCCTGATGGCACAAGTCTCAAGCACTTTCAAGCTATTGCCAGCCATTGCAGCATGAGTTTGATCCCTGGGCAGAGAGGTGACCCACATGACGTGGCAGACCTCTCCTGTCTCTCCCACTGCTCCCCCAGCAGTGTATTTCAGTAGATTGACCTATTCTGCCTCCTTTTCTGTCTCTGGTGAATCCTCTCACTCCTCCCACACCCCTGGCTTATATACCCCAGTTCTTGAATGCATAAATAAGCAAAAATAAATCTTTAAAAGAAAAAAACCTTTTTTTTTTTGAGTTCTCCCAATTCAAGGACATAGGTCCTTCACTGTCCTTAACTGCATTGGGGTTGGGATTCTGTACTGTGCCACAAACACACACGGCCACACAAGGCACATTTCTCCTTACCTCCTTGTTCTGGAAGGCTCCACCTCCCTAAAGTCTACTGGCTTATCAAGACCAACTATAAGCCCCTGCTCTTTCATAAAGTGGGCTGACTCTTGCAGCCAAATTTCTTATACAGTATTTTCAATTTGTTCTACAAAATTTTACTCAATCTATATATTGTGTTGTTTATGATTTTTGATTAGTCTCATTAAGTGGAAGTGCCAAGGACATGGCTCATGTTGTCCAGCTGGGCAGTACCCAACAGTGAGTGCCCCTCAGAGTGCCAAGTTCCCATCATGTACTCAAGCTGCTGGTACAGAAGCTGTACTAATTATTTGTTGCCTGACTGGTGAGTGAGCCCTGGGTGATGGTGGTGAGGTTCCCCTTGAAGCTCTGTCAGCTCCTGAGGGCCTTGGATGTTGTTCTCCCTTCTTCCCTAGCTGTTAATATTCTGTTACAGGTAAGTTTTTTTCCAGGGGCACAAGCTGCTGAGACTAGTAGCTTTCTGAGTCCCCAGAGCAGCTTTTTTCTCCTGGTTTCCCCAGGCTAGTTACACCATCCTTTTGTGTTTCTTCCCTTCCACCCTTAGCATCCCTTGTCCTCCCCTAACCCCTTTCCCCTACTTCTCAAGAATTTGTGCACAAAGATCTCTAACCTTAGGGGCATCTGACCACCTAAGGTGGAGTTCTTTAGTGTTTAGAAACTGGGGAGGAGCCCAGAAGGGCCAGAGCAAATAGAAAGGTGAGGCTCTGGACTTCCGAAGTCACTTTCATGTTTCTGACTGGTGCTATAGATAGAGATCCTTTGCCTAGAGAGTGATGCTGAGGTAGCTTCTAGTTCCAGGGTTACTTAACTTGGACAACTCCATGTCTTCCTAGGACCCTGCCGTCATGACTCCTCCAACTACTAACTACGATGGCTGTGTGGACACTCTTAGTTCATTTAAGAACTAGTTACTAAGGACCACAGCGACTTCTGGCACCATGGTTTCCCCTTTTCATCCTCTAACTTGGGGGTCTACTGAGAAGGCCCATTCTTTGCCCTGCTACTCAGTACCCATGAAGCCTACTTGTTCATCTCTTTTTATGTCTCAGAACCAAAACATCTACAACCTCCTATCTGGAAAGGTCAACTGCTGAGAAGCCCCTAATTCTTACCCATTGTAAGGGGTGACTGCTACTTGATTTCCATGTCACCTATTTTTTTTTTGTTGTTCTAAGTGAGTGTGCCGCCCCCTGCTGGGGTGGGAGTAATCTTGGCACATCACCAAGCTTCCCCCTTGGAGTAGGGGACCAAGGAGTGAGAGCCTTAGAGGCCCCAAGGATTTGGCTTTGCCATCGTTCCAGTGAATAGTCTGGCAGCATGATTTCAGAAAGAGCTTGTGACTTACAGTTAGACCTAAGTTCAAATCCTTATTCTACTATCAGCTGAGTTCCCTAGTTTTTCTAAACCTTATATAAAATGTGGAATTTCAGAATTGTCATCAAGATTAATAAAATTAAAAAGGGAAAAACTACTTTGTAGACTAAAAATGTCCCATATATGTATGTGTAAACTATAAGGGTGGGGAGACCTATATTCTTACAGCATAACTAACAACTTTGGAAAATGGTTCATTTACTCTGGAAAATGAACCTAAGGGAAAAGAAAAACAGCTGTGTAGGCTGCTTCCAAGGAGGGGATCTCTTTATGCACTGAGACTGTGGTGTGGCAGTCTACCCAGAAATAGTGCCAAGGGTCTCTCAATCAGCTGTCCTGTTTTCTGTTCTGCCCAACCTTCAGGGACACTGCAGATCTTACCCATGGGTTTCTTATGCCCAGGGGATGACCCACTGCTCATTCAAACCCCTGAGCTTCCTTGTTTGCCGACCTCACCACTTATGGGGGTACAAGACTTCAATAGGGGTTGAGGCTCTCCAATCTTGTGATTAGCTCAATTTATGAGATCTTCCCTCAGTTTCTTCATGGGAAACCAAAGGCACTGCCAACCTTGTGCTCTAAAGTCAGAGCCCTCTCTATTTTCTTCATGACTAATGTTCCTCAACAGTAAATGAAGACATTCCCAACTTTGGGTTGCCCCCTATGAGGGGAGTTTCTTGGTATTATCCAGTAAAATTGAGGCAGGTAGCAGCTAAAACCCCTCTTCCCTCCTTAGTGTGTAAGATCAACTGCCTTACCACATGAATATCCCATAAAAAGAAAGAAACCAACCTTTTGCCACTCCACACCCTCTTCTCAGGTAGTGAGTAGTTCCAGAACAGTACCTCACACTGAGGTTTTAGAAGGCAAGCAGGGAATCCAAGTAATCCCACAGGAATGGGAGAAAAGTTGTTGGGGGTGGGAGGGGGTGGGAGGAGGGTAGGCTAGGTTCATGTGGGGGAATCCACACAGTTCCTGCTGTACATAGGATAAAGACTTCTCTGTGGGCGTAAGTGTTTGGGGTGGCCCAAGCCAAAGTGCTGGAAGTGTTGAGCAGCGAGCAGAGAATTCAATTTTCTCCAAGGCAAGGACAGTGTCTTATTCATCTGTGATCCTCCAGCATCAAGCATTGAGCCTGGCATATACTATGTTCTAAGTAAATGTTTGTCTAATTGACCATTGAAGGTGGATCTCTGGGTTGGGGCTGTAAAAGGAGCCCCAGAGTAGAAGTAAGGAGGTCAGGGGGCCCAAGGGCACATAGTTTGGGGACTGTGGTAAGGGGTCATAGTTACCTTCCATCCCGCTGAGCTGTTGCTGTCACCCTTGTCCTTGAAGTAGGGCACAGTGCGGACCATCCACTCATAGATCTGGGCCAGTGTCAGTCGCTTCTCCGGGGCGCTTTCAATGGCCTGGCTGATGAGTTCTGCATATGACTGATTTCCCCAGGCATTCCGGCGGGAGCCTCCCTTCCGAGGACCTGTTACAGCTCCTAGGATCGCGGGCTGGGGGCCCCCTGCCGGCTCTGGAAGCCGGGAGGGCAACAGGGTCGGTTCTGAGCGCCCCTCCGGGTGTACCTTCTCTCCCAGACCTGGCTCCACCTCGGACGGTTCGGAGGGCTCGGTAGCGAGCTCAGGTCGGGGAAGGGGCCAGGTGCAGGAGCGGGGACGGCTCTGGGGTTCGAAGTCGGGGTCGAGGTCTATGATCGCGTCAGCCTCTGTGGCTGAATTCTCATTCTCTGGATCCATGCGTGGAGTTGGACCTCCGCTGCTCAGCGTTCAGAGGAGCTTGCCACCGTCCCTCACGATGCCTCCCCCAAGGGGGGAAGCACCGAGGGCCAGGAGGCACATTCCTGCCAGTCTTCAGAAAGTCGCGAACTTCGCCCCCCCCGCGCCCCGGGACGCTAGCCCCCTAGCTGTCCCTTCCACACACAGTTCTCTGATCCTCTTCTCGACTACAGCCTGCAGCTTCAGAGCTCTTTCCGAGACACCACCTGTAACCTCCGCCTAGCGAAGACACTTTTTCTCCAGCCTCTCACTCAGCTTCCAGCTCTTTTAAATCTGAGGCACCGTAACCCCTTATATATTGCGCTCCCATCCACGAACGTCTATTTAGCCGCAGTTCCCTCCGCCTTTTAAGTTGCTGCCCCCCGGACACTCCTCCTAAATTTCCTCCACCC